GGTGTCCCATCACTAATCAGGGGCATCCTGGTCCTTTTATGTAACTTTATGTATTGTTATTATATAAGTGAACAGGGCCGACTGATGAACAGTGCCCATTCGAACATTTCTTCCTTTCTCCTCTTCTTCTTCCTCTTCTTCTTCTCTTCTCACTTGACAGGTTCAGTTCGGCAAACACTAGGGAAACTACTATATCTTTGTATGACTCGGCCTAACATTGCATATGCTGTTAGCTGCATTAGCTAGTTCATGCATGCTCCCAAGGACACTCATATGGCAGCAACAGAATGGATTTTATGTTATTTGAAAAGTACTCCTGGGAAGGGCATTCTTTCTGCTAAGCATGGTCATATGAACCTGGAGGCATACACAGATGTTGACTGGGCAGGAAACATTGATGATAGGAGGTCAACTTCGGGATACTGTAGCATGGTGGCAGGTAATATTGTTTCTTGGAGAAGCAAGAAACAATCTGTTGTTGCTAGATCTTCAGCTGGGGCTGAGTACGGGCTATGGCTCATGGAGTTTCTGAGTTACTTTGGCTTCGATCCTTGATGGAGGAACTAGGTGTTGAGTATGATAAGCCATTGATGCTATATTGTGATAATCAGGCCACCATCAACATTGCCCACAATCCAGTGCAACATGATAGGACTAAACATATTGAAGTTGACAGGCATTTTATTGGAGAAAGAGTGGCTTCTGGAGAAGTTTGTCTACCATTCATTACATCTGAAGAACATTAATTGACATCCTCACCAAGGGAATCTCCAAGGCCAAACTACAACATGACACTAGCAAGTTGGGCATGGTTGACATCTATGCTCAGCTTGAGGGGGCCGAGTGACCCATAGGCTGCTCTTATTTCTTTATGCTTCTATTCCTTTTTGTTAATGGGCCGTTATGTTTCTTTATATTTTATGTTTAATTAAGTTAATCGCCCAATTAAGGGCTTCCTTGTAAATACAGAAACTTTGTAAAGTATTTTTAATGAAAAGATTAGGGAAGGAAGCGAGGTTCGAACAATTCATCTCCCAAAACCCTATTGCAGCCGACTTCTTCTTCTTCTTCTTCTTCTCTCTTCTTCTTCTCTCTTTGCTGATAATATCTAACCTTTTTCACACTTTTTTAAAATCAGTCTCATTCTTTTGGACTGTTTTACTTCTCTTATATAGTCTAGATATTGGTCTGTCAATTAACAATAAAATAAGAATAGATATAACAAACATAAGAAGTTAAGTCTATAAATTAGCACCTAGAATTGAAGTTAGTATCTTTACAAGTTTGGAATCAGCACCAAACCACACAAATTTCAAAGGTAGCATCATTATTCCTACCCAAAAGAGTGTTGTGTTGTGTTTATTTATGAAGAGTGCATTACTTTTTCTTATCTTCTATTTCTAGATATAAATTTCCTTAAACACTTCTATTGGAAAAGAAAAATTCTTGAACAAATCTTGTAAATATCATATATAAATTTTGAAGATGCTTTAGATATTTGCAAACTCAGCAAATGTTGGGCATTTAATCAACCTTTAAAATATTTGATTAGTGAAATTCTTGAATTTTTTTTAACTATACAGATAACTCTAGGTACCTTTTAGGGATTAAATACATTTATTCCAGATCACTGAGCAGTTATCCATATCAATGTTTTAAAATGCGGAGGCATGACGCGAGGCGTTCCACTACCTAGAGGTGTGAGGCATAGTTCAAAATGCAAGAGGCGTAAGCCTCCCGAACACAAGGACGCCTCCTTAAGAGGAGTGGGGTTAGGAGGAGGATGAAGAGGAAGGGGGGATGTCATTTTTTTCTTTATTTTTAATAAAAATCTTTTATATTAAGAAGAATAAAGATGCATAAAATTAGTTGAAAGGGGGGGTCTTTCCCCTTGTCTTTTCTTCCCTTCCCTTTCCTCTTCTTTTTTCTTCTCTTTCCCTTCCCTTTCTTTTCTTTTCCTTTCCTTTCCTTTCCTTTTTTTTCTTTTTTCTTTTTTTTGTCTTTTATAAGATGTGCATGAGGCACATGAGGCGCATGCCTCTAGCACACCTCATGAAAAAAGTGCAAGAGGCGTACGCCTCAGAGGTGTCAGCACCTCGGGCATACGCCTCAGAGCGTTTTGGGAGCATCTCGCCTGGAGGCGCGTACGCCTCCCTCGCCTTTTAAAACACTGATCCATATCTGTATGGATGTTTACACCTTTTTATCGTGCCCCTGCAACACAGTCTACAAAATCATGTCTTTCCAGAGGGGTCTTTTACTGATCACCTATAATGGAAATATTTTACTTTTTATTTTCATTTTATGTAGGTGTGGATGACTTACTAGCAAATTGTCGGGTTGGGAATACAACAAGGGAAAAACTAAGGAAGGTGATAGAATGGGTGAAACGAACTGGATCTACAGATCACAATGTTCAATTGCATAATTACGAGGTATTCTTTATAAATTCGAGTGTACTTTCTGTCATGAACTTTCAACTTTCAAATTGGCATCCTAAAAATGGTTAATTTCTTGTGCCTGTTGCTTAAAGCTGAAGGGTATGGGTGCATTATATTATTTGAGGAAAAAGTAGCTGTATTTCAATTATAAACTATTGACAAAAAGTGAGTACATGAGGTGATGTTACATGAACATAGAATATGGAAATTGGAAAGACAGTCCTCTCCTTACAAAAATTTATCTGGTTGAGGCCTGTCATCATACAGAAATGATCTTTCAATGCTCAATGTAACTAGTTTCTTTGCTACTACAATTCATGTTCCTAGGAATCCATCGTAAGTGTGCATTTATAATGGATATAATTTCCTTGATTTCATTTAGATAATGATCCAGATACCAAGGGCTGCTTCCCACCATTTGATCCCATTGTATTGCATTGCCTGAATTCCTGAAATAATACACGAGAATACTTGTGATTGTATTGCTAAACACTCCCAAGTGAAGAGCCTGAACCTAAGGTTCTGAAGATTGTGCAACCCTGATAAGGCCATTAAAGGCCTAGAGTATGCTTCTTCCAATTTAATTTCTCGAAATTTAATTTAATACAAGTTACTAGTTATCTATAAAAAGATGCTTCCATCTAATCCCCAGGCTGGCTTGACCTGGACACAGTTGGCTTTGCCATCGAAATGCAGTCTGTTTGCCATTTGGGAGGGTAGACAGGAAAGCTCTTTGCATATAATCACTAGTGGATGATTGTGGGATTTTTTTTACAAGTTCATTCTCATATTGTCCAAGGATATCTTTCTGAACTCATTTGTTGCTAACATCCAAGAATTGAGAAGAGAGAGGATATGGCTTCTTAGAGCTTTAAAGGATGCTTATATATTATGAAAAGATTCATCTGTTTTTCTCTTCCCAAATTTCCCACATCACAATGGATAATGGTCTTCCAGTATAACTTCCCCTTTATACAAGAGAGGAGTATAAGAGAATATACTCACAACAGCATATACAATAAGGACATCAAAACAAAATGAAAGTCCATTACACATGCATGAGGGGATATGTAAAAATGCCTTTTCTTTATAGGAATTTATGTCATGATTTGCCCACATCTAGCTTCAAATAGGAAGAGACTCTAGGTGGGACCATATAGAGCTAGAGACTTGTCATGGGTAAAGCATTCACTTAGGTTGTGTTTGGTTTGAAGGAAAAAGTAGGGAAAGGAAGAGAAAGGCAGAGAAACCTATACAAGGTTTGTAAAGGTTTCCCTACATTTCCCTTCCTTTCCCTACCTTTTCCTTCAAACCAAACATAGCCTTAAGGATATGTATCCTTTACCTTAAAAAGGATCAGATCTGAAGGATCTCGAGAGAATTGGGGACTAAACTGGTTGGTCAAGGACAGAGGAGATTAGTGGTGAATGGTGATCATTTTCCAGCCCTTAGGTTTTGTGTTCAGGTCCGAGCACCTGGCCCGGCCTGGCCTGCAATATATTATTTATATTATCAAGTATATACTTATATAATGTATTGTATTATTTTATATTATGTATATTAATATTATAAAATGACACATATAATATATATTATATATAATGTAAATTATATCATATATGTTATACATATATTGTATGTCATATAATATAAAATGTTATATATTTTATAAAATTTTATTAGTGAGTTAGGCCCAAAGCCTGGCCCAGCTTGGCCTGAGCCATACAGACCTGGACCCAGGCTTATATTTCAGGCCCAGGGTCTGGGCTGGGCTGTGCTGGAGCCCAGGTTATAGCTATTATAATAGGTGGGTTTTATGCCTGGCCTGGGCCCGACCCATGGTCACTCCTAGAGGAGATATAAACTTCTTTGGGGATTCAGGAAGAGAATCTACCTTCTTTATCTTGGTCCCTAGTGGAGAATGATGAAGATAAAAATTCAAGTATGAGAGAAAAAAAATATTAGGAAAAGCTGGGTTTAAAGACTGACTTCCCCACTAAAGGTCAGACCAAAAACAATTTTCCAAGGACATTGATACAAGAATCAGATTCCAACATGCACCCTGGAGTCCGACTTGACAAGAAGAAAAAAACAAGGACTCTAGGAACATGTCTATAAAAAGTATAAACTATTAAAATGCTCCATTATATACCTATAAAAATGATCTATAACTTTATCTTTGTTACCTAATGATGGTTTATAGAAAAGAACGTTGTTTTTTTTCCTTACATTTAAAGGAAAACTAAAATACTAGACCAATGTATTTAAAGTCCAAAATTTAGTTTAGGTGGACTGACAACCTTTGATTTTGTTGTTTTGATCAATAATTGTCTAGGCGAAGGTAATATTAAGTATGAGGAATCAGACTAGATAATATAGAGATTATGACTTGACTATAGAATAGCACATAATCCTCTCTGTGCCAGTGCACTATTATGTTTTTGGACATTATGAAGGATATCTAGATGCTCTATGAATTATATAATTTGTAATAAATGCATTTCAAGGATTGAGGCTATTGGTTCCTGAGATTTCTTTTTATGTCTAAGCCAGGACTGGGTTTTAGATGTCACAGAGAAACCTTATTTGTAGTAGTACCATTTTAAGGACCAAGGAAAGATAGAAGGAATTGTTAACCTAGAGGTGGTAATAGATCAAGGTCGGGTTGGAATTCAAGTAATTATGAAACATGGGAAACCAAATTTAGTCCTTTTAGCAATAATTTGCTTAGAGAGATATCAGAATGAGTAGTAAATGGATTTAAAAGGAATGACGCTATATATTAAAATAAGGTGTTTTTATCTATTAGAAAGGCAAAAAAATGGTCAAAAAAATTGAAGGTAAAATTTGACTCTCATAGACATTAGGATCTCTTGCTCTTTTGTTCCACCTTCATCATTTAATTTAAAATTCAGTGTTTTACATGCTTGGAGGATTTTCATTGAGAAAAATGTTGCACAACAGAAGAGGCAGCTATTGAAGAACTGGAAGGTGAATGAAGAAAGAAAATCTATAGACTGCATCTCAATCTCAGAAGTATCATGCCTTGGGAACTCTTGTAAAGCTACATTTTATGCACATATTGGTGAACTTTTTCTGCCATTTACATGTGCAACTGATGGGGAGAAGGAAAGGGTGTTCATCAGCAAAAGACTGTTTATGAGTGGATATAATAAAATTGCAGAAGATTTCATTTGCACTGGCTGCAAGCTATGTGGTTCCCCATTGGGTTTGGCATATGGGTACAGCAACTCTTTTCAGAAGTCTCTCTTCTAGTTATTTGGTACAATGTTTGTTGTGGTTACTTAATTGCATTTTGTCATTTATCTTAACAGGTCTTTGCAGGAACAGAGCATGATTCCACTCTATTGCCAGAAAAGCTCTAACCGCCTACATGCTATATGCTTCATATATAGGCCATTTCTGGTGAAACTGCTAATCCTACTTGAGAATATTCAATTTCATTTGTGAAAGTGGTGCACATTTATCACTTGAAGTGATAAGAAAAAACAATGTTCAATGCTAATTATAAAATCTTCAAAATGACTTGAAAGAAAGAACCTAGCCAATTAGGTATATCTATAATTGTCAGAATGACTTGAGGTCAGGTAGCTTGCTTCTATAAAATATGTTTCTGTTTTTTGCCGTCACACTGGAAAATAGCTGCTTTGATGGTTCAATAATTGTGTGAATGCACACATCTATTTTGAAAATTTAATGTATATTCTTAACAAAAATATAGCATTCATATATTCTTGAACAAGTATTAGAAAACTAAATGTTGCCAGACATGCCTCCAAAAGAAATGTTTATACTGCATCTTGGTAAAGTTCAAAAAGAAATTAAATTCATAATAATTGAAATTGATCAGCACCTTTCAAGTTATGTTGAAGTAAGGTTGAGATTGGATTGTAAGATTTCAGGACGGAATTCAGAAATGTGGGGACTGTGGAGGGCCTGGATTCTTTTTCACCATTAGATAAGGGGTAGAATCTGGAAAGTTGGCAGATTTTAGTTTCAATCATTTTTGAATTCTATGTTTGGTGGAATATGGAATTCTGTGGATTTCTGTTTTCATTTTTCACAAACACAACTCAGGGGTCCTGGGCAGGGGACTTGTTTTTGAAACAGTTTCACAAAAGGGAGATCATATCATTTGCTTCAAGCCTAAATGCAAAAGAAAAGATATACAAAACAAAGAGGTGTATTTACCACTTAATTTACATTTTAAAGGTGATAGAGGTAAGAAATTTATTGTCATGATCAAGATTATTTTATGGCAGTGAAGTTCCATGAATGCTAGTGCATTGGAGTAGGTTCCCTTGGAGAAGGACAGGGTGAAATACTTAAATCTCAGTGGCTTTTCTATTCCACGGCCTAAGAGATTCCTACAAAATGGAGGTTTTCTCTTGTATGGTTGATAAATATTTTGGTTTAGCATTTGGTATCTCCAGTAATGTCATATAATCCTCTAATAGTTGTTTAAGGAAGTTGGAGGATTATTAGAGACTGGTAGAAATCATATTCTCAGGTTAGTAAATAATGTTATACATGCCAATAATTTGTTGGGAGAATGACGGTCAGGGTCAGAATTTTTAGGTCCAAAGTACAGTTGGGGTAGGTGCCAGCTCGGAATTGATGCCAATTCACGGGCGGGCATTGGTGTATAGAGTGGGGATATTTGACATTTTGAATGTTTATAGGTCTGCAGTGGAATTTAGAAATCTGCATTGGGCCTGTCCGTACTTTTTCATAATTTGTTTGATTTTTTTCAATAGGCCCATGGTTTGGTGGTTAATATTTTGAAGATGAAGATGGGGAAATCAAGTCCATGCTAGGTCCACAGCCTTTACTTTCTTAGCAACATTCTCTTTCACAAAAAGCAATAAAGTATAGATTATTGTATCATGGAAAGTCTATTTTATTTTAAAGAAAAGTATAAACTTCATTTAAAGTAAAATTATGCATAGTTTTCATAAGAAAAGTATAAACTTCATTTTAAAGCATAGAAAATCAACATGCCCATGAGAAGAAAAAGAAGAAAGAAAATTCAGAAAATAATGGGGCTGAGGCGCTGAGCCCTATTTTTGTTATAGGAAAAGAAGAAAAGAAAAGGTGGAATTTGAAGTTCTTTACTTATTGGTTCAGGTTTTGAAGTCTTTGAGGGTTTAAGAAGCATTTAGTAACGTGTGTGTTGATTAAACCCTAACAAATAAGAAAATAATAAAAATAAACTAGTATATAAACACACAGTATGAATATTTTAGTTTAATAGAAGAGAGAAAGGGAGAGAGGAGAGGAGAGACGAGAGGACTGAGAGCCCAAAAAGATACTGCAGGCGGCACAGTATGTTATATTTATACTAGGGCGACAACAACTAAACATAAAGAAACGGAAAAGTACAATAGTACCCCTACGGTACTATACATATATAAAATAACATCTGTTAACAATAATGTCTATTTTATAGTTATAATCTCAAAAAATTAAGAATATAAAAGTAGTTCATAACACAGTGTACAAATCTGCTTGGCAATTAGGCAAGGCGATCCTCCAAGAGTTACCTCGTGGCCTAGGCAATGCCTCAGCGTCACCTTGACAAATGACAATGTTCCATAAATTTTACTTGCTTTCTTTATTGTTAAATGTTTAGGTATACATAAACTTTTTCAAGTATAGAAGTGAGAATATAAAGGTTTTCTCATGCTTCTAGAATAAGTATTTGCTTCTTCCTTCTTTTCTCTCTTGTTTATACTTTATACTCCTATGGAGATTTTTCTTTTTCTTTATTTATTTGCTTTCCTGATGTGCTCTGTTGTTTTCCTTTGCCATATTTCTTTTGTTGAGTTAGGCTTAATGTTTCAAATCAAGGCTGAGATTTTGTAATGGTATATATTTTCACTTTCCTCTGACCTGATACCATGTTTGATCTGTCACTGTGTGTTAAACTTTTCTCTGATTGGAAATTTAGATACAATATTTAGTGGTTTTCACTTTTCTCATGATCAAGAAATCCCGATTTTTTTTCATGCAGGTTTTTTGGAAACTGTTTCAAGTTCTTTTTATTTTCTTCTGCATTAGATCCTTATAATTGTTATATCACTTCTTAATGTAACATCATCATTTATCTTTCTTTTGCTGCAGCTTTATGTGTGGGACCAATCTGAATGCATTCCACTTTTTGTCACAAACAAGGTTGCAGAGCTACTATTTGCAGACATTACAGCCGAGAAAGTCTACTTGTGCTATACAACACAAAAGCAGAATTGGAATCTTGATTTGAGAGATGATCATGAGATTGGTCATTCTGATCTGAGTGCCAATGCTGACTCTAAAGCTGCAGATTCTAGGCCACTGGATGTAAAGAAGACCCTGAAACCAAAAAGTAACAACCAAGGAGACAGGAAGAACCCGAACTTTTTCAGGATTTGGCTAATTTTACTCAAAATGTTGCTGCAACAAGGAAAAAATAGTTCTTTGAAATTTGAAATTACTGTGAATACTGGCTTAGATCAAGAAAGTGGAAGGTTTGAATTGGTTTCAATGATGATGCCATGCTTCAGAATGGATGGACCTGTTTGACTAGATACACATTTGTTAAGCTTCAGGTATGAATGCCATAAGTTTGTCAGATGCACTAATGAGATACTAGGGACTGGAAGAGAGATGATTCCCTATGTGAACAATTTTCTTTGTATTTTCTTTTAGGCAATACTAGTTACTAGATTTTTTTGAAGATAAACAACTTTATCATGGTTGACTTATTCTGTGACGCTCTAGTACTTGGAAGATTGGCATAGATGAACTTCCAGCTGCAACTCAGAAGGTTGTAGTGCTTGAAAATTTTGTGGTTCCATTGAATCAGAACATTGGCTGTAATTATATATAAAGTGCTTTTAACTGAATCAGAACTGGATGAAACCTCACAAATGCAATGACAACGCTGCTATTGGGTCTGAATTTAGTGAATAGAGTGTGCAACATTTCTATGTAACTAGCGGAATGCTTGGTTTTCAAGAAAAAGCATCTAAAAAATGGTTGTTCCCACTCTCAAACAAAAGTTTCTTCCTCAAACATATGTTTACCGACTCCTTTTTTTTTTCTCATCTTCTTACGGTTTTGCTGCTGTTGTTTTTATAGTTTTACCATCGCCCCATCCATGTGTCACTCAGTACGTCTCTAGCTCCCTTTCTCTCTTAATTTCTCTCTTTCTCTCTCCTCCTTTCGTTGTTTGCTTTTGTTCTCTCATTCCTTGGTCCCTTTCTATTTATGTCTTGTTGAAATAGTTTACCTTATTTCTATTTATTCAACACACACGTGTTGAAAGTACTTATGTCTGGTTTGATCTGTTTAAAGTATTTAGGGAAAAGTACGAGCAGGCCCATTGCAGAAATCTGAACACCAGGCCAGTCCGTACAGAATTTACAATTACTCTCTAATTCAACTTTTGAAATTATAAGACTGATTCCCACACCATGTAAGCATCACACTTCTATCTAAGCTTTTCTTGTGATGTGGCAATCCAACTCGGATTACATGTCACAATAACATTTATTTAATATTTTATTTTGAAATTTACCCTTAAATTGCAAAGACTAAAATGACCCTGTTAGGGCCCATGACCATTGTTATCTCCCGCCCTCCCTGTTCTCTCTCTTTCATTCTCTCACACTCGCAACTCTCTTCTCTTCGATTGCAGACGACTGAACTTCGGTTGCTCTCCCTCTCTCTCACTCTATAACTCTCTCTCGTTCTCCCTCTATCTCGTCCCCATTCTCTCTCTCTCTCTCTCCCGGTCTCCCTCCCCCTCTATCGCTCTCCTTCTCTCCCTCTGTCTCGTTCTCCCTCTACTTGTAAATTTTTAGGTAGCATTGTTGCTTTTTTCACTTCTATTCCTGTCTCAATTTATACCAAGTGAAGGCCCATCCTAACCAGAGGAAATTATCGTTTTGAACACTTGTGCCACTAATAGGTATTTGACAATCTCTTTGTATGATATTTTAATTTGTTATAGTCAATCAAAAAGTCATTTCAAATAAATTTGATTTTTTGTTCTCTTTACATTTCTATCACAGTAAATATGCTATCGTTTTTATATAAATTTTGTTAAGTTGTGTTTGATGCTGATTCATTCTTGTTGAATGTGCATTGGAGAACGAGTGTACATTAGTTTATACATGGAAAAGAAGATCAAGCAAGTGTGTGTTTGTAAAATTTCTTGTATGGAAGGTCAATTTACTTTGGTTATGAAAATTTCTCTCCAAAATTAAGATGATAATTTAGTGATAATCACTCATCACTCATGACAAGCATTAATAATCACATATTGTTTTGTTGTAAACTCAAGGAGGGTGTTTGCCTTCTCAGCATGCTATTCAAATTCCTCTTATAAAGAGCCATATTCAGTTAATGAAAAACATTAGTTTGTAAGTTGAATGTCCTCAAATCAAAGATAGTAATTAGGTGATGGTTACTAGGTTGGCACATTTGACACCTTATTTGCCAAGGGGCCAATAAGAATTTTTTTTTTTTTTTGTTGAAGAATAAGATAAAATTCATTAGGAAAAAATACATTAGGATGGTGATAATCCACAAAAAATTCCAAAAGTCCAACTTTGATCTCACAGATCCCATACTAATACCCGTAGAATCGGATGATAAAATCTTATCATATTTTCTCTAAACAACCTTTATCATAGTCTAAGAAACAAACCAAAATATTCCTTTATTGTCACAAGAGAACTAAATAAGAGAAAGTACTGCAATGTATATTACACTGAATTGAATCCTGGTTTCGTATTTGCAGACATAAGTTCTTATCCAACCATCCAATAAAGGGACTTTACCTTACAATGATCCCAAGAATTGGCAATCCAGAATTACCATTGCACCGCCAATGGCCCCCTCATACAAATATATTCAATGGCTTGGACTAAGCAGCAACTCTTAAGCTCAATCATTTCTCTGACCTAGATTTTCCACAAAGTAAATGAAATAATATCGAAGATGATGATTAATGGGTTTTACAGCTCCTTATGCTAAAACGAATTGAGATATTCCTTTATTGCCAACTGATATTCCTTTGCAATGGCTTTTGCAACTCCTTATGTTAAAAATTGTCATTTTAATTGCATCTTGGTAATTTTTTACCAAGTTAGATGATGCTTACCAAGTTGGCACATTTTGCCTTACATTTGCCAAGGGTCCATGTAGATTTTTTTGAAATATAAGATAAAATTCATTAGGAAAAAGAACACATTAGCAAGGTGACAAGTCATCACCCAACTTTGATCCCACTGATCCCATACTAATACCCCTAGAACCGAATGACAAAATCTGATAATCTTTTCTCCAAAGAATCTCCATCACAGTCCGATAATACAAACCAATGTATTATTTTATCGTCAAAAGACATTGTTTGTTTCCAAAGGCTTTCGGATGTCTTTATATTAAAAATAGTCATTTTAACTACATCTTGGTAAATTTTTACCAAATTAGGTGATGGTTACTAGGTTGGCACATTTGGCATCTTATTTGCCAAGGGGCCAATAAGATTTGTTTTTTGTTTTCTGTTGAAGAATAAGATAAAATTCATTAGCAGAAAATACATTAGGATGGTGATAATCCATAAAGAATTCCGAAAGCCCAACCTTCATCTCACAGATCCCATACTAATACCCGTAGAACAGAATGGCAAAATCTTATCATATTTTCTCTAAATAACCTCTATCACAGCCTAATAAACAAACCAAAATATTCATTTATTGTCACAAGATCTTGCTTCTTTTCTATGGCTTTTGCATGCCATTATATTTCATATTGTCATTTTAATTCTATCCTAGTAAAGTTTTACCAAGTTAGTGATGCTTACTAGGGTGGCACATTTGGCCCCGTCTCTGGTGAAATCTGATAATCTGATAATCTTTTTTACAAACCAAGGTATTATTTTATTGTCAAAAGACATTGTTTGTTTCCAAAGGCTTTCGGATGTATTTATATTAAAAATWGTCATTTTAACTCCATCTTGGTAAATTTTTACCAAGTTAGGTGATAGTTACCAGGTTGGCACATTTGGCACCTTATTTGCCAAGGGGCCAATAAGATTTGTTTTTTGTTTTCTGTTGAAGAATAAGATAAAATTCATTAGCAGAAAATACATTAGGATGGTGATAATCCATAAAGAATTCCGAAAGCCCAACCTTCATCTCACAGATCCCATACTAATACCCGTAGAACAGAATGGCAAAATCTTATCATATTTTCTCTAAATAACCTCTATCACAGCCCAATAAACAAACCAAAATATTCATTTATTGTCACAAGATCTTGCTTCTTTTCTATGGCTTTTGCATGCCATTATATTTCAAATTGTCATTTTAATTCTATCTTAATAAAGTTTTACCAAGTTAGATGATGCTTACTAGGGTGGCACATTTGGCCCCGTCTTTGGCAAAATCTGATAATCTTTTCTCCAAAGAACCTCCATCACAGTCCGATAATACAAACCAAGGTATTATTTTATTGTCAAAAGACATTGTTTGTTTCCAAAGGCTTTCGGATGTTGTTATATTAAAAATAGTCATTTTAACTCCATCTTGGTAAATTTTTACCAAGTTAGGTGATGGTTACCAGGTTGGCAYATTTGGCAYCTTATTTGCCAAGGGGCCAATAAGATTTGTTTTTTGTTTTCTGTTGAAGAATAAGATAAAATTCATTAGCAGAAAATACATTAGGATGGTGATAATCCATAAAGAATTYCGAAAGCCCAACCTTCATCTCACAGATCCCATACTAATACCCGTAGAATCGAATGGCAAAATCTTATCATATTTTCTCTAAACAACCTCTATCACTGAAGGGATGAGAGATCCATCGTATGGACGCCCAAAGATTGCGGAATAAGGGGGCGAATTTCAAAAATTTTTCTCTCCCTTCAACTGGGAATCGCATTCCCTATTTTAGAAAATCATATTTTCAAGGATCATTCTTGAACCATAAACTGAACCAGATCTGAACCAAAACGAGTAGGAGAGGATTATACCTGATATGGGGAAATAGTATCCCCCAACGAAGGTGTTTACGCCCAATGAAGGATCCAAAGACTGCTTCCACTGAAGATGGCGCAGTGCAGAATGGAGCAGAATCAGCAGTGTTCTTCTCCAAGAACTCTGTCATTCGCAAGAATCAGCAGGATGGCACGTGAGCACAACTTCCTATCAATTCTTTCTCAAAGAACAGATGTTAAGATCAAATCTTGACTTCTCCCACAACTGGAGATCGAATTGGCAAACAGGGTGGCAAGAACAGGGAGGCGGCAAGAAAGAATTCTGCAGGGATGCTTAATTCTTCCTTCTGTGATTTTCAGCACTCAAGAGGATGTGATTGTGTGTCTTCTAAAGGCTGCCCCCCCTTCTTTTGTTAACCTAAAAGATCAGTTCCTAATCCAATTAGGATCTGCTTATCCAAATCATATTTGGATCAGACCTCTCTTTAGGTGATAAGGATAAACCTTATCTTATCTACAGATTAGATTAGTTTTCTCCTAATCTCATTAGGAGGTTTCTAGATTTGAATCACATTCAGATCTGGACTCTCTGAGTGGATAGGGTCTATCTACTAATCCATCTCAGAATTCGCCGCATAATTAACTAATTAAACAGCCCAGTTCGAAATGGGCTTTAGGCCCATTAAGCTTATGTGCTCACTTAACCTTCCTAACTGCTGCCCAGTTGGGCTTCCTTGTATGG